GCATATATATATATATATATTTATATGGGCTATCATAGATCTCAAAAGACTTATATCTAAATGATTGGATATGACATTTGAAGAATAATATGCTATTTTAAAAATAGAAATATTACCTTAAAATGGATCTAATCATTAAAATGAGAAAAATCTTTGGGATTTATGGATCCGCGGAACCAAAATTCTTCCCGTGCCTTATAACTGTAAGATAAGATTTATTTTAATTATGGAGTTTGATATCCCTTTGAGTGGGTTCTCTCATAGTTAATTACTTCTCAACAATTACTTTGGAGAAAACTCTTAATTAAAGGTATGGCTTACATCTTTCCTATTTAATAATAAATATTTAAAGGATAATATGATTTTAATTTTGTAAAAGGGATAAGATTGGACACATATCGATTTCATTTGAGTTTCAAATTTTGACCCTTAGAGTTGAGCCCAACACTTGTCAAATGAAATGATATAGAGCTTGAATCAGATGATTAGATTTGAGAAACAATTTGGATTGGATTGGACATAACTTTAGTACATTCTAAGTTATTCTTAAATTTTCCTTAGAGCTTTTCCTTCTTGCTCTCTCCGGAATGAGGTGGAATCTTCTAGAGCCCCTTTGAGGACTCTTTACATTCTGACCTTCTCTAGAATCTTCCATCCTGTGTTTGTCTTGTCAATTTCTCGAATATGACGGAGCGTGACAAGCTGCTCTAGTATTTTGTTGTGGATAAGCTGGCTTACTATTTATTTTTTGCAGTTTGAAAATAGCTATGCGATAGCTGTTTCTGGACAAATGATAATTTTGCTCTTGTGTAGTAATGTTGTTTGTATCAGAACTGTCATAACAATATATTTGATACTTGAGAAACAAAAATCCACTTCAGAACAATACAAAAAATATGATATATATCTCACTTAACAGTGAGTATCATGATTATTAAATAAGAAAAAAATTATTAAAATTACATTTAATAATATGATAATTTTAATTTTTTAAATTTGATTGCGTATGTCGCGAGCTACACCGTTCTCTAGTTATACTATCCATTTCTGATTACTCTTCGCAATGGAATCTGCTAGACCGTCTGCCCATCGAAAGAAGCCACACTTCTCTGTGGTTCTCCACAGACATCTATAGAACTGTCTTCTGTAGCTATTTGCCTGAGGTGGCGTCAGTAAAAAAGTCTGAAGTCTGCAATGACAAAGAAATCGTTGGGAAGTCCCTGAAATCCTGAAACTCATCTTATCTGAATGCTACAAAAGACAATCAATTAGTCATAACAGAGTTTGAAATTGGTTAAAGATGATTAATTACAATTTTTATAATAGTGATGTCTTAGAGAAGTCAGTGTACCAACTAACGAATCTATAACTATAAGAAGATAACAGGCCTTGTAAAAAAATGTTCCTGGTTACTTTTAAACCACGTAAAACTAAACTCGCGGGTGTCACATACGATTATCACAAAAAAAGTCTATGTAGAAGATCCTCAAAATTCATATTGTTGAAAATAAGAGAGGAACTTGGTTTCCTTCATTAGTATTTCATATGTGGCACCAACCAACAACGATTAACAAACCATTTAGAAAATATGGTCAAATGTCTCTTTGTGGACCTCTCAAACGTACCAAAATAAAAACAAATAAAATGCAAATGGATAAAAACTCATACGAATAGCATAAAAAGCCCATAAAATCAGTATAAAATATGTTAGAAACGGAGATAAACAACAACTATATAAAATAAACAAGTAGGATAAAAGAAGTTAGTAATTACAGTTTTGTGTTGACGTGAAATAACTTAGTATATCAATCGAAGAATCTGTCACTATAAATTTGTCACTACGAACTTGTCATTACAAGAAGACAATAGACATTGTAAAAAAAAGATTTGGTTGCATTTAAACCACGTAATACTAAGCTCGTGTCTATCACATATGCATATCACCAAAAAGAAATTCTAGAAGAACCTAAAAAACCGTTATACCAAAAAAAAGAGGGAATTTGGTTGCCTTAATTAGGATTTTATATATGACACGAACCAACAACGATTAACAAGTTATCCAGAAGAACTCATAAAGTCAAATGTCTCATCATAGACATCAAACCAACGAAACGAAAAATAAATGAAATGTAAATGAAAAAAACAATTAGAAATAACATAAAAAGCCCAAACAATCAATATAAAATTTAAAGCTCAAATGGTCTTGAATAAATGAAATAAAGTTCAAATAATATTGAATAAAGTATAAATACTCGAATCACCATCCTACTATCACATCCATAATTTGTTCTCTCAACCCTGCCATCTCGCTTGAACTTCTCCATTTTTAGTACAGGTGATGGAAGCATCATTCTCAAGCTGTGACGAAGAATGTCCAAGATGGTACTCAAATACCTCGGCAGATGCATGCTCATGATCATCGTTCTTCATACGGAAGTTGATGTCATTACGGGAAGAGTGTTGCATAATGTAATTGTGCAGAGTCATCGTGACAATCACAGTTTGCACCTATTTGGGAAATAGGTAAGATGATATATTACGGAGTATAACCCATAAGTCCTCTCAATGACACCGTTAAGGAGGAACGTCTTTTATTGAACATTTCTTTTTTACTCGTGTTATATTGCTTGCTCGCTCACAGTCAGGTATGTGATATCTCGTATCAGGATATGACTTGCGATACCCTCACTGCAACGTATATCCAGCATCAACCAAGTTTTATTTATCTGAAATGTATTGGATAATTAGTATAGAGGTAAAAGTAATTTACGAGAGTATTTGAGTCTCAAGCGTACCTGTAGGAGGATGTGGGAAGTTGTTAATGGTATTTCGCGTTCCGGTTTTGAAATTTCTATTGTCATATACACTGCCCTTCTAATCAGCCATGACAAAAGTAAAATACATGTTGAAGTCACAAACGACCATGACATTCTACGTCGGGGCCCCGCAATGTAATATGAATACGGTCTTCTCATTGTTTGAAACACGTTATCTCCAATACAATTCTGGTAAAATAATGTCGTAATAACGTTGGTTTTTTTAAAATTTAATGTAATGAATTTAAAATGTTACCTTAAAGAATGACATGTACCGTTCATCGCACAAACTCTTTGTAGGGTCCGTTCGAACGTAGGATCAGTAGGCTTTATGACTTATTAAGAAAAGCTCACAAGTGTCATCAACCTCGCTGAGAAGTGTTTACAAATTATTTTGGAAGAGTGTTGAAATCGATTCATTGGTCCTCGCATTGATTCATTCTAGGATAATATGTAGAGAGTTATCGCCATCACCTCTCGCGAAGTCGTCCTGGAAGAGCCATGAAGTCTATGAATTTGTGTAGTTCCTCCAACAGATGTTGAATATCGCATTTCTCATTCGAAACATATTGTTAAATCTTATTGGATGACATGCAAGCAACTCTCTAACCAATTGTCCCCACTTATGAGGATGTTATGCAGGCAAAGCGATCTATGTACGAGTTTTAATGTTCGTATATCAAGCATACGACAGTTGCAACTCTACTTCTATGCATTTCTCTAGTTGCATTCATGTATATCAATATCATACTGGCTGACACAGAAACATCAATAAATTAGCTACAATTACATTGGCTACGAATATCAAAATAAATATATAAGCATAAACATATAAGCATTGTTGAATAAGACAAACACTAAGCAGTTGAAATTTCCATACTAAAATAAGAAAAAAATTTAGAAACATAAATATCTCAAGTGAATGTAAATAAAAAAAATTTCTCAAATATTCCTGTGATCATAAAAATGTCGTATGTACGCCACCCTACGATCTTCGAGAATCCTGACGAAAAATACTCCGCGGGTTGGAACTTCAAGCAACTCACCACAAACATGTACAGTGGCAAACCCTAAAAAATTTTCTAGTTGCATTCAAAATTTGCATGACCTGGTCGACAAAACTTGCTTGAGATGTGTGGGGTTCAGCGCTGTAAGAAGCCACCAATTGTGATATCTGGCTTCTAAGGAAAGCAGCCTCAACTTTTTTCTTATTCTCAACCCGTGGACGCTTAGAATGGCAGTAAACTCAAGTTCATTGAGGTTCTGGCTGGTGACCTTGGTTGAATCAACTAATTGATCGGCTCACAAGTTCTCGGGGGTGCCAATAAACCCTCACTTGGGGCACATACATGGTTTCCCGTAGCAAAGACACCGCCATACATTCGATCCAACTTCTCCTCCAACTCAGGATCAAGTACATTAATTTTAATTTTTTTTGCAACGGGCACCACCTACAAATTCATAACATGTACTTCAATTTAAAAACAAAATGAAATTGACCAAATTAGGGGACATGTCAAAAATGCATACCGTAAGTTTTTTTGTCCACCACTCCTCGAGTGTAGCATTGGTTCGGGGCATAACCCTTGTTAAATTGGCAGAAATAGTGATTTAACTTTTTTATAAGATGATCAAACAAACAAAAAACATGATTTTATGTCACCATTCCATCAGAAGAAAGAACTATAAGTTTGCAAGAGATTTATAACGTAACCAATAAGCTTAGTCTCATTTTTCTGATGGATAATCAAGAATCAATTTTCAATGATGTTGCTATGCAAGATAGTTGATGGAAAATACCCTATGGATGAGGAGATCAAATCTGTAGAAAGGAACGAGCATAGGATTTGTTAAACTTCTATTTGTCATGTGGCTATTGATTTGGAGTTTTCAAATCAAAGAAGAAGATTGCTAATTGAAAAATGAAAAAAATGAAGCAATTTTGTTTCTAAAGGTTACCAACAGCAAAGTGACTTTGATTTTAATGAGGTATTTGATTTTGGTTCTCTTATGGAAATTATTTGATTGAGACTATCTTTTGTGAGTTAAACTCATTGAAATATTTCTCTAGTGGGCGCCAAATTCATGTCTTGAATGATCTCCTTGAAGATGTTCAACTATCTATGGATACGGGATATGCAAAGGATAGGTACGAAGAAAATGTCCTGAAGTTAAAGATAAAAGTTTATGGCTTGTAGCAACTACATTCTTATTTTAAAGTAATCGTTTTGTTTGAACATCAAATGAACATGCTTTAAATGTAAAAGTGAAAGATGGAAATATACTACTAGTTGTTATGCATGTAAATGATCTTATTTTCATAGGAAGCAATGCTCAAATGTTTAGTAAATTCAAGCTAAACATGAATCGAGGAGTTTGAGATAATGGAACATTTGGCTCATGACTTCCTTTACTTGAAAGTAAAGCAAGGGAATGAAGGAATTTTTTGTTTCACAAGAGGCAAATGCAAACGAAGTTCTTCAATAATTAAAGGCTGGTGATTGCAATCCAATTAGCACCCATGTTCATTGTGGGTTGAATTTAGAAAATTATGAAGGAAAAATAGTAGTTTATCACGTTCTCATTAAAAGTTTGATTATTGGGTAAGGTACTTGACATGCACAGGAATGCATATTCTTTTTTGTAGTTGGTTTGGTTTGTTGATTTCTGAAGGATCTAAAGTTGGTGCTTTTAAAATCTGTTTAAGTTGATTTTTTTTTTTTGGTTATATCGAAGGCTATCCCCAATGAAGTCATAAGTGCCTCAACTGACTTTTAACTCCGTGGGCTCGTTGATAGCAATTAGAGATGAGATTTTGATGATCTAACAATCACCTTAGGATTTTTGTTTCCTTTTGGATTTTATGACATTCACATTGTAATCACTTATTCATAAAAAAAAAATAATAATTTTCTATTATTCTCTATTTTGCTTTCTCTACTCATGAAGTGGAATATGCAGCATCATCATTATTGCCCATCTCATGTAATTTGGTTAAGGAGATTGTTCAAATAAATATTTCTTTCTCAACTTGATGCTATAATGATCGATATTGACATTATCTAAGAATATAGTCCATCATGAAAGGAGTAAGGGCATTGAGATTTGGATCTAATTTATAAGAAGGTGCATGATCAAGATGCAGTTATCTCCCTTTGATAAACTTGGTAATGTTTTGGAATGGAAGATAGCATTAACTTTAATGGTTTGTTTGAAATTAAACCATAATTGAACCTAAACAAATTCAACAGAGGATTACATATTGTAAGTGGTAAATACCTATGCATTAAGTTGTGTTTATGAATGTATTGGGATATATGAAGGTTCATGAGCATATCAATAGTCATTCTTGATTTGGAATGAAATCTTTGGATGACTACATTACTCTTCATTCGAAGTGGTAGTGTGTAAATCACTTGGAACCTATGTGTAACTTGGGGATTATTTTTGAATGACGAGCCAAGCTATTTGAACCTAAAGCTATTCCAAATTTTTTTTCCAATTTTTTTTCTTTTCCAATTTGCTTTATGCATTCTAATTATCCTGATTTGTATGAGAGTGTAGGGACGAATGATTTTTTTGGATCTTTTGGCCATTTTTAGAAGCTCAATTTGGCAAGTATAGTTATAGTTCCTTTTTTTTTATTTTTCTAAATAAAAAAAAAATAAAAATTAGAGACTTCAATAGTTTTCACTACTCTGCATTCATAAATGTTTGCTATTTAATCTGCAACGCACTTACAATCATTACTGCAGGTAATCATCTTTATTTTGGCATTTTTACATACATAGCACTAAATTCTTATGTATTTACTTATCTCACACCTTAACTTTCATATATACACATGTAGCAGTCAAATCCATTATATCACATATAAATTTCACTATTACCAGTTTTTAAAAGGGAAATACACCTTTTCTTGTATAGGTTTTAAGTACCAAAGTGCTACCTGCGTAAATATGAAATTTTCGTTGTGGGATATGTAAATACACAAGAATTGTGAGCTTGGGATGTAAATTTTCCTTTTTTTTATGATACCAGGATTTTTAAAAGGTATTCAGATGTTTTAGTTTGATTTTTAGGAATGGTCTTATATACCTGTTGGTGGATCCTTGCCAAACACGGAACAGAAGAACCTTGCATTTGGTGCTGCGGCCAGCATGGTGCATCCAGCCACTGGTTAGAAAACTATACTATTAGAACATGCAGTCATTATCATCATGATAGCATTATCCTAACTGATATTCTCCATTCATTCTTGTTGATTGATACGTGAGTTTTCAATGCGATTTTACACAAATCTTTAAGAAATATCATAGCCAGAAACCGTTAATAGTAAAACATGTGATTGTCTGAAGAAAAATATGTACTAATTTTTATTTATCTTTATGAACAGGATATTCAATTGTCCGTTCCTTGTCTGAGGCTCCAAAGTATGCTTCAGTGATTAGTAATATATTGATGAGAAATTCATTTTCAAGACAAAATAAGATCGTAGGGAGTGTTTATAATCCTTCTGCCCTAGGTTTGAATATCTGTTCAGTCAATCATTTCTTTCAACGGCACTTTGATAGACTATTATTTTACCATTCATTCATGGTGTTATCTATAAACTTGTTATTGTATTCATGACATATTTCAGCATGGAGGACTCTTTGGCCACAAGAAAGGAAACGACAAAGAGCATTCTTTCTATTTGGACTAGCTTTAATATTGCAGCTTGATATCGACGGAATTAGAATATTTTTTCAGACTTTCTTTCGCTTGCCTGATTGGTATGTGCTTTTGTCTTTATGCTTTTAATTGCAAGCAGCTGAGCTTACCTGCATCATAAATATCATCATCTGCAGTAAAAACATCATGAGATTGTGTAAATATGTGGGATACTGACAAGTAAAACAATTTCATGTACCCTAAAATGAAGAATTATTTTTCACGTTTTTGGATTATCTATTATTGGACAAAAACTCTGCAACTTGTTTTTGTTCCATTTTCATTTGAAATTCACCCTTGCGTTCATGCTTCTTGAGATTGTAATTCTTTTTGTTCATACTTCAAAAAATCATTCGTAACATCTTTGAACATTTTTTTTTTGTTCAGAAAGAAAAGAATGCCATCTTGGACGGCACAAACTAGTTTATCATCTACTAGATTTTTCTTTTATTAGCGTTGTATATTTTGCATTTTAGAATATTCATTATGATAGAAAATTTATTTCTTATGTTGCACAAAAATCTCTTACACAGATAAATAGCTCATAACTGACTTTAGAAATTGGGTTTCTGACAGAAAACTTGAATGATAAGAACCACAGTAAGTTCCACCATATTGGTTGAAGATTATGATAGTCCACCCTTTTTGTGGAGAACATTGGAAGGTGGTGGTGTTACTGGGTGGAAGATGGATGATCATAATGAATATTAAAATTGGTAGATGAGTATATGGTTGCCACTATTATAGAATAAGAGACAAAAGGCCTCAAAAATCAAGCTATGATAATTGTTAGATGGCAAAATGCAGTGGTCATTTTAGGATGCACAATTATGGACAAGTGATGACAATTGTCAGGGTTGGCTGGTCATCATAGGATAGGTGAAGCTGCTTATTATTAAGTGATGCTGGTAGAGTGAGAGTGGTCAAGTATTGGTTGATGATGACGATGAGTTGTCAATGTTTGTTGATAGCAGTAGTGGATATTAGCATCTATTAAAGGTTGTCGGTGTTGCCTACACTAGAATCGAAGTGATATAAAAGGTGGTTGAACATGTTATCCACCTAGCTGAAGTGAAAATCTTCATTTTAAATTTTCTCCTCAAATGGGCAAAGATTGGTATTTTTTATTATTTTCTGGAGATAGCATTTTGGCCAGTTTTTTCAAGAATGCTATACATTATCGAACGGATTGAAAAGGTCCTCGTTTTCTTTTATATGTTCTGAAAGTTTTAATGTCATAATAAACACAATTTTTTTTTATCCTGGATTTATCATATCCGACTTGCCAAGACAATTCTTTTTATTTTATGCATTTAAAATTTGGAGGATATTTGTCCATTCGTATGACCTAAAAGTTTTTAATTATTATTTTTGAGTGTTTTATTGAAGCCCATTTAAACCACAGATTTAGGTATTTTAGTCTTTGGGTTTACATTATTGTATCACATTATCCTTACTATTAATTTGTTGAAAATGGAATTCAAATGACCTTGGGGCCTATTCTAGAAGTCTGAAGTAATTATGAGTTTTGAGCTATGAAAGTTGCATTAAAATTTGTGCTTTATTAGATATATTTTTTAATGGCATGGCAATTACTTCCCATGTTCGTGCATCAAAATCTCTTTTTGTTAAAAATATTGCTCCTCAAATGTGGGGGCAAAAGTCACAACTTTAGAAATATTTAAGGTGTGACTATTTCATAGTTAACATTGAACTTTGATTGAGACCATTTAACCTTGTTATTGTCATGACTCGGTCGTGGTTTGAAATTATTAAGGTAAGAATAGGTGGAACCATGAAATTCAATTTTTATTAGCAATCTTTATTACTAACAAATAATCATCTAATTAAATCAAAAAAACCACTAATGAATGTAATCTAAAATAAGTTCAATTTTTTCTTTGTTCGACACATTTTTTATATATATTTTCTTTTCTACGACTCATTCATAACCTTTTGAAAGAGTCAGTTTAAAATACGATTAGCTATCAAGTAGTCAGTGAATGCTCATGCTTATAAATTAAAATAATATAAAAGAAAGTATAATAATCTATATACTTCTCAATTAAAATGAATATTATAAAAATAATTGATATGTTTTTTTTCAATTATAACTATTCTAGAAGATTCAGAAAAGAAAAAGTTCTAGAAAAGAAAAGTGTTTATATGTCTTATATTCAAGTCATTAAAGATATATGTTGGAGTTGTTACTTGTGTTCGAACATAAGGAAGATTGACCAAGTATTTTCCATTTCAGTTGGATCACATCAGAGATCGACTTTAAGACTGTATGTTTTTTAGCTTTCGTTATGGATGCTCTTACCAACATTTACAAGAGGATTTTTCTTGGTGTATGCTTTTTCCTGATGATATCCTTCTTATGGATAAGTTTAGAGAAAAAAATCAGAAAAAACGAATTATCGAGCCATACATCAATGTCTAAAGGCATTTGCTTGAGTAGATCTAATATTTACAAGAGGATGTTCCTTGGTGTATGCTTTTTCTGATGATATCCTTCTTGTGGGTAAGACTAGAGAAAGAATTCAGAAAAAAACTTGAATTATTGAGGTATACATCAGAGTCTAAAGGCATTTGCTTGAGTAGATCTAAAGCTAAATAATTGGATTGTAATTTTAACAGTGGCATATCTAGTGGCAGAGTTGTAATTATGAGTGATCAAATCATTAAAAGATGTCAACGTTTTAGTTATCTGGGGCCTATTGTTCAATATGATGGTGATATAGATAGGCATCTTATTAGTAGAATTCAAGTTTGATCGGTTGAAGTGGAGGAATGCATGTGACCTTTTGTGTGATTGAATAATACCACTTAGAATTAAAGGAAAATTTTATAACATGGTGGTGAAACTTGCAATGCTCTATGACGCAGAATGTTTGCCTTTAAAAGAGAAGCATAAAACTAAGTTAACTGTTACTGAGATGAGAATTCCTAGGTGGATGAGTGGCTTGTCATTTAGAGACAAAATGCAAAATGAATGTATATGTGAAAGGGTTTGTGTTGCTGTTGTAACAGACAAGATTAAACACTATCTGGCATAATTTTATATGATGTAATGCTCAACATTCTAAAAGCTACTGATAACTTTGAATGCGTGTTGTACTTTTCTCATAAAGGCTATTGTGCAACACTCAATAAATCGTAAATTTTTTACGATTTACTGTTTGGTGGTTGATCATCCTCAAGCACGTGCTCAACAAATTGAACTCTACTTGCATCGAAAATCTTTTATTCAAATCTATTAAGATCATATTCAATTGAAGGGCAAAACTTGATGGAGCACCAACCTGATCATACTCAACATCTAGTTCATAGTCTCCTTGTGCAGTTATGTACCAATAATTAGGTTGAGAGCATCTACGACACAAATACAGTTTCACTTTATTCGGTTGTAAGAATGCTTGATTTTTATGCTTCACGTATGAGCATCGAAACTTATTTTTTGAAGGATAAGTGGGAAGTTGTGATACTACTTGCATAAATATTCTACATTATTCAAGAACCCATCAATCAGTTACTTTCTACATAGATGCAATCTACTGTACTTCCATGATCTTAAATTTTTAATATCCATTAGTTCCATATATACAAATTGAAAGATAAAGACATTCAACTCATCAATTACATGGACCTCTTCATATATCGTTGTGTATGAAAACGATTCAAACTGATATCTTAGATAAGTAAATTTGTACGTAGCACCTACTTATTTTGTATCACATCCGAAATACTACATTTTTAAAATGATATACATACACACTACCCAATTCTTATGACAAACGCTGATTTTATTGAAATAGAAAAGATACATAAAGCTTATTTGAGAGGGCCCAATAGAGGCACCCTTCTCATACGATACCAAGTATAATATATCCCAACAAAAAGATGCAGATAGACTAAAAAAATATTAAAACATGCGGAAAACAATTAACTAGGGAGGAGCCAGTTTAGTCTGGGCTCTTCCTTTAGTTTTAGGAGCGGAATCGAATAACAAACTTTGAAGTGTCGTGTCATTTCCAGGAGTAACCAAAGTATCATCCATTAAGTTCCAAGTTGGAGTGTGCCCCCAGAAATATGAACCTGCCATTCTTCCACCGAGAAATATGAACCTGCCATTCTTCATTTGAAGACTGACTCATGTGGTCCTCGGTCTGATTAGATATTAGAACCGCAGTAGAAGGAAAGACAGTCATTGCCACAGCGATAGATTCCAATGTATGTGAAGTGTGAATTTATGCTTTTTGAATAGGAGCTGCAGGGCTATCTTGATTTTCGGTATGAACATTATCCCTTATAGTATGGTCAGGAGAAGGGTTCCCAGGGGCAGACACCAACTCCTGTCTTGTGGTGATTCCCTCTTCAGGTTGGCTATCATCAGGTTTGTTGGGAGCGCGTTCAGGTGCAATAACAATAAGTTCTTGTTTTTGACTATTTGTTTTCATCTGTGGGTGCAATCTGAAATATTTCTCTTGTGGGTGTCTAAACATCTTGCAGTGCTTGCAGTAGTAAGTTTTTTGTTTCATAATAATTTTTTGTCAATAACCATTATAAGTCAAGCCAGACTTTTTCTACATCTGGTAGTGTAATATCCATTTCAATCAAAATCCTTGCAATAGAGGGCCTTGAGGAATGAACTGTATGCATGTCTACCTGCAAAAATTTTTCAAGGATAGTCCCAATTGCATATAAGGTAGTTAGATCAAAGAAATGAAGCTCGAGTTCAAGTAATGAGAACCAGATTGGTGCAATTGGGGGTTCTTGACTGGAATCAAAATCAGGGGTCCATTTGAGCAATTTTATATGATTACCCTCGATTGTGATGAATTTCTTTGAGAAAATCTGTGTGATCTTCTTCTATGCTTAGCTGTATTATTACATGTCTTCTGTTAAATTAAACTCACCTGCCAAGCTCCAACTAGTTTGAAATCTTCAAATTTCTTCCTGAAAGTCTTCATCTTAGGGCGACATAATTGAAACTTTCTAATTAATATAAATTTGTATTTTCCTGCACGAGTTGAAATTTCAGCATCAGAGAAGAATAGTG